AAAACTTTTAGGTGTCGGCCTTTAAAAGGGACTAATTCCACTTATACCACCACATCTGTCAAGTACATATTCTTTCCTTTCTTCGATGACAAACAAAATTAGTACTTACCAGTAGTAAAAAAGACACTTTTTTTTTAATTCTTGTTTTGTCAGGTAATAGAAATAATTGCGCGAAATTTCAGCTTCTTTTCAAATTGGGTGTGGTAAAATTAACCTGTACACATTTATCAGCGGACAGACAGACAGAGTTGATATAAGCTTTGTTAGAATCATACTTTTTTCCAACTTTTTATCACTACAGAAACACTTTTTTATTTCTCTTAATCTTGTAGCATTAATTAAGTTTTTCAAATGGTATTTAGTTGGCTAGTGATATCTCAATATTGTATGCTTGACATTGTTATTGATTTTGTCTCTATTTGACTTTTTATTTAAATAATCTCGCTGAATCTGAGGTGCTTTACATTTAGGATCTAGATCTAGAGAAAAAAAAGTGGAATAAAAGTTTCGCACAAAAAATAAATGTTTGGAAATAAAATACACTGGAACCTGGAGATACGAGTTTAAGTCGTTCCAGACCCGAGCTCGTAAGTCAAATTACTCGTATCTCAAACGAGTTTTCCAAAATAGATTAAATTAAACACGATTGATTGGTTCTAACCCTATATAAAGTCCCAAAGTGACCTAAATTCTGAACAAAGACTTTGTTCTAAATGACTAAATGTACATGGAACACGTATAAACCTAAACACTGAAATAAATCATGACATGAGAAATGCAGAAAAGAAATCAATCCCATGTCTGTAAAGTAAATGGTCAATGTACCGAATAGTATCTGGGTGGCTAAAGTCTGAGGCTAACGGAGAGAGGGTGAGGCGGAGGGAGCGAAGGGGTGAGGCGGAGGGAGCGAGGGGGTGAGGCGGAGGGAGCGAGGGGGTGAGGAGGAGGGAGCGAGGGGATGAGGAGGAGGGAGCGAGGGGGTGAGGCGGAGGGAGCGAGGGGGTGAGGAGGAGGGAGCGAGGGGGTGAGGAGGAGGGAGCGAGGGGGTGAGGAGGAGGGAGCGAGGGGGTGAGGAGGAGGGAGCGAGGGGGTGAGGAGGAGGGAGCGAGGGGGTGAGGCGGAGGGAGCGAGGGGGTGAGGAGGAGGGAGCGAGGGGGTGAGGAGGAGGGAGCGAGGGGGTGAGGAGGAGGGAGTGAGGGGGTGAGGAGGAGGGAGCGAGGGGGTGAGGCGGAGGGAGTGAGGGGGTGAGGAGGAGGGAGCGAGGGGGTGAGGCGGAGGGAGTGAGGGGGTGAGGAGGACGAGTTGACTGCCACAGAATCAAACACTTCATTCACAGCATCAACAAAAACTCATAATTTACACATGATGGGACCCAGATGCCCAAGAATAATTCCGATTTAAATCACTCAACTCGCTAGTAACAACAACAAAAAGACGAGACTTTGTTAAGCGCGAATGGTCGAGATCATGGTGTACCCACACTGACATACGTGCTGATGGTCAAGATCATGGTGTACCCACACTAAGATACGTGCAAATGGTCACGATCATGGTGTACCCACACTAAGATACGTGCGAATGGTCAAGATCATGGTGTAACTACACTGAGATAGGTGCGAGTGGTCGAGATCATGGTGTACCCATACTGAGATACGTGCGAGTGGTCGAGATCATGGTGTAACCACACTGAGATACGTGCGAGTGGTCGAGATCATGGTGTAACCACACTGAGATACGTGCGAATGGTCGAGATCATAGTGTAATCACAAGGAGATACTTGCGAATAGTCGAGATCATGTCGTACCCACACTGATATACCTTCGAATTGTCGAGATCATGGTGTATCGACACTGAAATACTTTCGAATGGTCGAGATCCCGGTTTACCCACACTCTGCTGTATTTGTCCAAGTAATGGCTGATATATATTTTTACGCGTGGGCAATTATGATTCCTATTTCGAGTGAAAACGGAAAGATCCGATTTCGCACGGTCACCATCGACGATAGGTTTTAGCTCTTCACCTATAAAGTGCTGATCACAAGAGAGCATTACAATTGTAGCGTTTACAGCAGGTGTTCTCAACCTGTGGGTCGCGACCCCCTTGGGGATCGAATGACGATTTGCCAGAGGTCGTCTAAGACCATCAAAAATTGTCTACTCTTCTATTGCTGTATGTGTATGTGTGTGTGGGGGGGGGTCGCGGCAGAGTGGTGGATTGTAAAAAGGGTTCGCTGAGCATAACAGGTTGAGATCCGCTGGTTTAGAGTCTAAGCAACCACACGCGTCTAAAGGTCTCGAATTGTCGCTCTTAAGACGAACAACAATTTCGCTCTCGACGCTGCATGTATCTCGAATTACTCGTATCTTGAGCAACTCGTATCTCGAGGTTACACTGTATAATTTTGGCTTTTAGACATTTAAATGTTGGCTCAAAAAAAAAAAAAACAGCTGTGGGGTCTAAATTGCTAATAAGAACCTATAAGTTTCTTTCTTGATAATGCCTAAGCTGTTTTCAGCTTTTTGCTGTCGAAGAGAATTGGGAGGCTTATTATTAATCAGTCCTAAGGGCCAAGAATTGTATATTGTACATTGACAATAAAATATGAATGTATAACTTCATTAATAATACAGCTCCACTTTGCTACATGACGCAATTTCCCAGAGGGCGCTCCACATATAAAAATCATGTTTGTCTATTTATGGTGACGAGATCACGGATTCCTTTTTTAGAAACTTAAAGCCAAAATAAATTTTACGATGGCGAAACATTTTTAAACCAATAAAACAGTCGACACTCGAGTTCTCGCAATGTGGCCAATGAGTTGAAAAATTTTCTCACTTCTTTTTTGTTTACCTTAAAAGTTTAAAGAAAAACAGCAGAGCCGTTTTCAAAATAAAATTTACATATACGAACATTTAAGCTTTGCTCTGTTAAGTGTATATGACATTATCGGGAATTTCGCAAACGTTCTCAATGTCCTATTACGTGGATGGGAGTGTCTCCTAAAATAGCGCACCACAGTCACATGACAACGTTATCTACGTGATTAGACAAAGTGACAGTCAATACGACAGAAGGAACCAACAACATTGAAGTATATGTTGAAACAGTTTAGGAAGTTGTTGAGACTGTAGGAATGTGAGAAAAGATTTTTAAAAACGTAAGTTCAATGATTATTTATGTTGTTTTTGTGTGTACCTATTTCTAATGTATACGATTTTGAGAAAGTGGAAACTAATGTAGATATCCAAGACTTCATCTAGATTCCAATCCATTGAGTTGTTTGTTCAATGTAACTAAGTGTTATATTTTTTGTAAGGTTAGGATTGGTGTTTGATTATAATAAGGGTAAATAGCGGCAACCGTCACATAAAGAAATTAACAAACCTGTTCAATTGTAACATCTAATAATGTGTCTACTTGTATTTTAACACGATCTTTTTTTTTCACCAAGTTTTTACAAAGTCACTCAATCTCTCTGTAAGGTTTTATTCTCTTTTAGTTTATTTATTCCTCTTTGCATTCTGGGATTAAGTTCAAACTTTCCGCGTGTTTTTATTGTCAATGACAACACGTGACTTAATAAACAAAAAAATTAACCAATCACTTCAGCAATGAGTTGTAATTAATTTCTGTTGTTTTTAATAGGAAATGTTTTAAGCAGCCTTCTATACCAGTGACAATAATCATGCACAGATATATCCCGAAAATGAAGCCACAAATGTTACTTAACGGTTGTTGTTTTTTTGTGAGCAATTAACTAGCACAGTGGTAAATTATGTTGAATTTCCATTATGGAGAGACTATTTCAATTTTTTTAAAAATATTGTTATTGACATGTCAGTATAGAACCTTCATCTCCTTCCACTGGTCCATAAAATTATTGTTTAGACCAACAAGAAGAGACAGTTGATTTAGATCCAAGTGAATAGAGAAACATTTTTAACCTTCAATCATCGTTGAGTTACCTCTTTTAGATTTTTTTACAATATGATGAAAAACATTAAAATCCCAATTTAACAACATATAGAAATAGTGTCTACCACTTTAAACATATACCACACTACTACCAATAGTCTAACACTACTACCAGTAAGCACATCTCTGCCCATTGTGACCAAAATGTTACCGCACCATTGGAGTTAGTCTCTAATGTTGAATTGGAATAAAAGTTGGAACTAAATGCCAACTTATATATTTCATGGCTAACATGTGACCACCACATCGTTTAAACTCATCCTCCGAGAACAAAGATTTGCTCTAAACTCTTGAGCCATGAAGACAATTCTATATTTAGATAATCGGGAATTTCATGAATGATTTTGTATGTACGTGTTTCTATAAATAGAATTCAGGAAGTAGTCAGTACAAACCCAGAGATTGTATAAAGTTAGTCATTCTATTTCAAAGTAATTTCTTCATTATATTCTTTTGTTTTATATAAGGTTTCTCTTAATATAGAATAGTAGAATTGTGAATCGTAGAACGAATTTAGTTTGTTTGGATTTTGTATAGATTTAGATCTAAAACTTGTCAAAACATTATTTTTTGTATTACTATTTAAAAGTCTAAAGTGCAGATGATGTTCAAAAGGCCATCTGTTTCTTTGGTCAACAGTTAACGAGCAGGGAGTCTTGTGGCTAGCAGAACGACCCGTACCTATCGGAGTTTTGAAATTTAAAATTCCAGCCAAGCAATTAACCGCTTTTGATTTACACGCTGAGCATGTGTGTGGTTACAATTCCACGTATATGTTTGTATCTGCCTGTGTGAGTTTATAATTCGATGGATAGCGCTAATCATGTAGTAAAGGGAAAACTAAACTTTTCAGATAGTGATATTTAATATAGTATCTACACATATTTTTTGTGACTATATTACTAAATGATTTTTTTTTTAAAATATAGATTTAAAAAGAAATCGGAAATTCCAAATATTTCTTCTCAATTATAAATAGACACCAACGTTTGGTACATTCTTTCGTCATTTGCTAAGTTACTTAACTCTCCATCCTTAACGTAATGTTAGTCAAACTCCAGCGACACATGTCCAGAAATAAACAAAAAAAAATACTATCCTGTGAGAGACTAATGGATCTCAAACCTCGACAGCAAGTGCGGACAACACTTTAGGACAAGGCTTGTCAGAATAGTTGGAAACAAATGGGCTAGTCAAAGCTCAGATCAAAACTGTAACAACAAACGTTCACAGCTAATATTTGGAGATAAACCAGAAAAAAAATGAAACATGAGTTACAACAAGGTCTACAAAGTACTTATAGTTTTGTACGTCATTTCTTGAAGTGGAAGATTAAAAGCCTATTTCGGTAACAAAGGGAAAACAAGTTTTAATTATCTGCCCTTGAATGTTTGGTAAATATATTTCTTTGAACCAATTTTTATTTTTTTTTAGAACTCGTCAAAGATGTCTTGCAAGAGAAAAACTCAAACTGATAGAAAAGTATCGAAAAAACTCAAATCAGAAAAAGTAAGTCTGTCTGTCTGTCTGTTTGTTTAATTTAACTAATTTTTTTTCTCTTATATAGGCACATCTCCAACAATGGCCATATCTCAACAAACTATCTAAATCAGTGGTCTTTAACCTTTCTTAGCGTACCGCCCCCTTTTTCGTATTTTTTCTATAAAAAAAAATCCGCAAGAGTCCCCCTCTAAGAAAAACAATTATAAAGAAGCGTGAGATGGCAAATTTAATTGATGGATTTTATTGTTTTGCTTTCACTAACACTTATCTCGCATGGGAGACGACCGCATGTCAAGGGCGATCTTCTTTGTCGAGTTTTAAGTAGGACAGATTTAACAGATGTTCCTCAGCGTGAGCACTATAAAGATCCACTCAGGCGCTATTTCACCCTGACTGGCATAGAGGAAAGTACCTGGCAGCATTCACTGGCAGCAGATGGCCTCTGAGAGAGAAGATGGAGAGCTCTCCGTACATTAGTTACATGTAGACAAAATTGAGCTATTTAAAATAGTATTGAAATATAATACAACAATTTTTGTTGGTTAGCAGGATAAATATGTATAATTAAGGTAATATTACTATAGTAGTGTGGAAAAAAAATACATTAATGGGACATGGAAATTAAAGTCCCTACCTGCTTAGATAAAATACATAATCGTATATTCCGCCCCCCCTCCCCCAGGAACTTCTAAAGACCCCTAATTTATTTTTTCACTTTCGTAGACCCCTTGAAAGATTTCGTGGAGCCCTGGGGATCTATAAAGACCACTTTGGGAATCCCTTTCCATAGATCACAGCGATAGTTAAAAACATTTTCTGATCTAAAGTATTTCGCCAGTATGCAATTACATCCTGGTTGTCAATTCCTACATTTCCCAGCTAGCTCCGCCCACACATCCGTCTTAACCAACAATTTCAACAAAGCCGAAACAGACAGCCTCTAGACATTTACTACACAAACAATAGCTATATCTAACTGTAGTTTTCAATATGACAAGTGGACAACATAAATACACGAAATATAGAAGATTTAGTGAGTTTAAGCAAACAAATTGTAAATGGAAATATGAAACCTTCCTTACTTTTGCCTGGTTACGGCCAAATTTTGATGCCAAATGCCGACACTATTGAGTGTTAGTGGAAACATTGGCCCATATCTTGCAAGAGTGTTTGCAGAGTCACGTGACCCATGTGGGAGCTAAAAGGCACTACGCCTAACCGCTGAGTTTGTCGCCAAAGCTCTACGGGAGGACTACCAATTGGAGTTTATCTCTCAGGCACCCTTGTCATTCAATCAGTTAATATATTATGTAACTTTTACAGAACAAGTAATGGCAATGTGTTAAAGTATATACCGTATTTTTTGCCGTATAAGACGCTCCGGCATATAAGACGCACCCAATTTTAAAGGAGGAAAATCTAGAAAAAAAAAATTCTGAACCAAATACTGTACTAGTTGGTCCGCCTGATCACTTTCTCACATACACCATACACGTTGTCTGTGATCTACCCAGACGGCACATTATGACGTAGGGAGGGCGGTGTGTACCGGCAGTAAGCTCAGCATGATGCCCGTGCAGCACATGGTTAGACTGTCGGGAGGGGGGCATGGCGCGTTATAGGAGGGAGAGGGAACCCCGAACACACACAGCCTGGCCGTGCAGGGAGGGTCACAGAAGCCCGCAGCACACACTGCATAAGGAAAGGACTGTGAGTAAGCGCCACACAAAATTGGGGGCAGTTTTAATGCATGTAAAATGTGTATTTGCCGTATAAGACGCACCAACTTCCCCCCCCCCCCAGTTTTGGAGAAGAAAAAGTGCGTCTTATACGGCGAAAAATACGGTAATCAAAACATATACTACATTTTAATATATCGAGAATCTATAGCATTTCTATACATTTGTATGTGTTTTATAGCTCAAATTTGTTAATAATAAAATGTTTATGTTCTGTCTTTCTCTGGCAATTATTTAATAAAGTTTTAAAATATCATCTCATGTTTCTTTTTTCCCTAATTGGCTAATGGTTCAATTAATATTGCGTGTGTGTGTGTCACCGATGATTTTCCCTATTATCCTATACGTGGACTTTTTTGTTTACATTTTGTTATAATTAATACGGGTATTTGAAAATAAAATATTTAAAAAAAAATGTACATACCGATTATCCATTAGCCTAGCCTATCGTGATTAATGCCGGCCCTCCTCCTTTCTCATTCTGGACTTGGGACCAGACTAATGGTGGAGTTACCGGCTTTTAATGACACGACTACGGTACGGTACGACGGTAGAGGAGACAGAGATGCTAGTTGATATATCCAGAAGCGGCCTTAGGGGATGGCGAGTGGGGAAATTTAGGCACCGGTAAATTAAGCACTTTTTGACAAGGCGGAAAATTAGGCACTCTTAAATAAAATTCCAGTGCCTCGTCTCGGGCGGCCCCACGATACCAGAAATATTTTTATAGAGTTTGTTTAATCATTATTTGCGTCGATTGAAGGCATATAAATCAATATTAGAGGACTGCAGACAAAACCTTACTAGCTAATACTTATATGCAGAACAATTACAATACAGTACGTAATTAATAGTCTAACGGCCAATGGTACGATACCTACGTAAAGTAGCGCTTTAGGATTTTGTAACAAAAATAAGGCGTATAGCATTAGAGCCGAACTAGCTCATTTGGTTCATGAGATATTGTCTAAATACTTTTAATAGTCTACGCTTATGGCTCACGGGCCCTCGTATGACACTCGCCCGGGGGACGGCGTATGACATTACTACATTAGCCACGGGTCCCGTGTACTGCTAAGGCCGCCTGGTACATCAATAAAGTAGCCTCTGTATAAAATAACCTGTCTCCATATTATCTTTAACCGAAGCCGGTAGAGGAGATAGGCGATATCTAACACATTAAAAATAGTAGCTTCTGTATTAAATAACCCATGTCTCTCCATTTTCTACAAACGTATAAACGAGACTATGCTATTAACTTTTTTTCCCCGGCTTGATGGGTAAATAATACGGCGTAGTAAAAGTGTTTAAAAAAAAAGTGTTAGAGTTTGACATGAAATGTTGACAAGATTACGTTTCTATTCTTAGCGAAGTCTTCTTAACTTTGACGCAAAACTGTGTTGGCCTACTCACTGCCTACTGTACACAATAGTTGAATGTCAATCTGATAATTTGTTTTTGAAGGTTCGTGACTAGATTAAACTATTAAAAAATTATTTTAAAAAACTACGGCGAGCTGTTTTCAATTGATATCGGTATCCTATTCGAAGCTATCACGGGAGGCAGATACAGATGGAAACAATAATTAAAATGACCACTGGAAGATAATGTGTTAAATTTGACCGAAAAAAAAATCATGGGTAATTATCAGCAATCGTTACAAGCATACTAGAGAACATATCCTCATCGCGCATACTATTGCGATATTGAAACTCTTGCAAATAGCTTTGAAACAATGCACGACATGTTCCAAATTGCCTTTTTAACTTGCGTTTCGCGCGCATCCACAAATTCTCGACGTTTTGAGTATGAATTTCAGGGTCCAAAGGGTCCACAAAATTTTGTTGGTGAACAACAACTGAATGTGAATAAATCCCTTGGCCTATTTGTGGAATGTTTGCGTACGCTGCCCAGCCATCTGATATTATATGGCTGCTAGGCAATATATGCTCCACGATGCATTGTTCCAACGTTGCTGCACGGCGGTCTGGAACCTCAACAAGAAAACAGCGCCCACTTTCTCTTTCCACTCCGCCAAAAACCCAGTGTCCCTCTCGCCATTGGCCACGGTGATATTTTCTATGAAAATATTTAGACTCATCTATCTCAACCACAATGGGCTCACAATTTTCATCCACACTACCGATTTGCAAGCCATGATTTTCATTCCATCGCCCACATTCCTCGCGCAAGAAATTGCACCAATTTGTAACGATTGATTTATTCACTTGTCCGGCTTCTCGTGACATTTGTTGCTGAGGCATGTCACAAGCCCAACAATAGGTCATAATAATTATTTGTTTTAGGCTTAAATGGCTGCCTGTAAAAAAAGAGCCGTATCGCACCGATTTTCGCACGTGACATTGATTGCAATTCCACAGATAACCATCCGCACTATGTCTGACGCGTACTAATGAGCACGGGTCATTGCAATTTTCACAATGAAATTCATTGTTTAGAAGTCGTCTTCTATCACACCACTCTAATACTACATGAGCTTCTAGGTGAGGCAACAACGCTGATAAATTCCAAAATTCATTCCTCACCTCCACTCTGTCCATTAGTTCATTAGCGCCTACAATACGGGTACGAGCAACAGGTCGGCCAGCCATTAGTTTACAAAAAAATGAAGTCAATAAATAGAAATAAAACTCCAATGAACTCAGATATCACGCAGGTGAATTGAAATTAAAGTAGAGGTAAAATTAAAGCCTACTACTACAATTAAAACTCAAATATTATGCTGCATAGGTGAATCAAAATCGGTAATTCTAATTGAAGTTCAATAAATAGCCTACTAATAAAATTCAGATATCGCACAGGTGAATCGAGATATTAGGTACCGGTAGGTAACAATTAAGTCCGATAAACACTAATAAAACTCAAGATTTGGCGCAAGTTCAGCAAGACAGCAATGTAAAAATAAATAAATCCAATGTTGAAACTATTGAAAACAAAGAAATGTAAATCCAATATCGAGCAGTTGTGAATGCAAGGTAATGGGGGCCTATTCAATGGGAATTTAGGAAATTTAGGCACCGGATATTTAGGCACCGCGTAT